GAAAAATCAACTATGTACTCAAGGTTCTGGAAGTTTTCCCTAAGATGTTGAAATAAAGAACGGAGTCATTTAACTTCATCATAGCTAGTGCTTTTTCAGCATGTGCACAGGTGCGTTATTTTCATTTAGGGTCACCAATTCATGGGCAGAGAATGATGATCCATGTTATGGTCCAGAAATCTTCTGTGACTGTGTATGCCAAGTGTGGTTATCTAGAGCAAAGTTGTGCTGTTTTCAGAGGATGGAAAGAGAGATTTAGTTCTTGGAATGCAGTAATAGCTGGGTATGCTCAGACAGAAATGGCCATCTATAGAAGGTATTTTTACTATTAAATGCAATGATGATGACCCTACAAAAGCTTGATTCATTGACTTACATTGTCATTCATCTCCAAGCTAGTGCATCCATTGGGGCTCTCAATCAGGGGAAGTGGCCTCATAACTTTGTAATTCAAAATTTCCTCTGGTCTTGCACCCTGTTACTTGGTAGACACAGCTCTAGCGGACATGTATTGTAAATGTGGTAATTTAGATGCTGCCAGTAGGTGCTTTAATGTGATGTTGCATAGCAATCTGATCTCTTGGACCACAATCATTGCTGGATGTGGTAGTCATGGGAAAAGGAGACAACTTTGAGCATGTACTTGTAGTTGCTGCAATTGGGGATGGAATCAAACGAGGTGCTCTTCCTTTCTTCTTCTTCTTCTTCTTCTTCTTCTTTTTGCCTGCAGCTTTGATGGCCTTATCATTTGGCAGTGTTTCAATGTGTAAGATCATATTTTCCTTGTGTCTTTACAATTAATGATCAAATCTATTTGGAATGGACAAAGATGTGACTGAGAGAAGGGATAAAAGGACATCAGTGTTTGCTGCGGCATGTCTGCTTGCCTGCCAGCTGAAGTAGTCAAACAGTTATCCATGGGAGTTAATGTGCCAAGTTTGGGTAGAATAACCATGCTATGCAGCTATTTATTGCAGGACAGATGTGCATGCAAAGCAACCAAGTCAAGGAGAGGAACTCCTCACTCTTGTTTGGTTGGCAATGAATCATCTGGGCCTCCGAACTCACTTTTCCAAAGAGGTTACAGGGAGCCGCAAGACATTCAGCATTGAAGTTGTACGTTTACAAAATGAAAAATGAAAATAAGGCATTCGTGTTTGCTTTCTGTATGTCTTTTTCTGTTGTCTTTCTTTAAGCGGTCATCTTATGTTCATTTTGAAAAACTTAATGCTTCATTGGATTATGTTTAGTTGTATTTTCATTTGTCAGATGTAGTTCTTCTCAACAGAACTTGAATTGCTTCCTGTTTGTTTTTGGATTCTTCATATAGATATTTTTTATACTTCATACTTGGCTCAAAAATATAATCAATTTCGAAGTTGCAACCCAAGGGAGGGCATGAATGATGAATGCAATCAATCTCTATTTCAAGGTCACGTGGTGTGAAAATTATGCATGCGGGTCTCAACACAAATCTTGCATCCAATCTAAAACCAAATGGTAATTGGTGGAGTGGCCCTTGTTGTATTTAACCTGTAAATTTCTTTGTTTATACTCAATATGAAAATTTCTCACTCAACACATGGTGTAGTACTTGAAAAATTCGGTCACATTACTGAGGTATTCAACCTAGCCCCATAACTCTATTACCATTATATTTGCCATGTAGAGTCTTGGAGCTCGTCTATGCCAAGGGTTTGCATTGTTGTCAAGTTTTTTTAATGGTTTTGAGTCTCATATTGCTCTGGTGAACTCTTTGTTGAATATGTATGGTAAATGTAGAAGTATTGAAGACGTTTAGGGCTTTTATGAATTGATGGGAATTCTTCGATTTTGGTGTTGAAGCTATGACATCAAGTTTGCACATACTTTATTGGTGTTTTGAAGAAATAAAAATGGCAGGAACTAAACTTCATGAAACTGATTTTGTTCAGTTTACTATTTATTTATTTATTTTTGAACAGGGTAATATGTTTGGGATTTTTGGGGGAAAGGGAAGGGAGGACTCGAAAACAAGTCTAGTAAGAAACCCTATGTGAGGAGCTACCACTTGCCCTAGGGGTTCTTGATTTAATTCAGTTTATTCTAAGTGTTTTCTGTTACATTTTAATTCTAGTTTGTCTTTATGCTTAGTTGATAAAAAGTAAGCACTTGATCAATGCCTTTAGAAAAGGTAGCAAAAGTTTAGGAAAAGCTGGTTTTGTTCACATGTTCGCTACTTTTTGCTTTTGTCTGTTATACCAGACTTGTACATATTTCAAGCTTCAACGAAAGAGGTCAGTTGTTCTACACCCCATTTTCTTTGATGTTGAAGCTTTTACAAATTAAATATGGAGACTGAAAACAGGGAGTCCAACCAGCAGACCTTTGGTTCTGTGTTCCTGCCTCAGAGGTCATGTTGCTTAGACATAACAATCAATTTACTGCAGCCAAGATCCTGGAAGTTTTTGTGGCCTTCAACCGCTTTGGCAAGGACTTATTGAGAAGATTACTAAGGTAAGAAAAAGAACGTAAATCTCCTATTCCCAGCATGCCCTACAAAGTAAATCATATATTGATTTGCATTTGCAGGTGATATTGCTTGGGGGAAAATGATCAATTCACTGTAGACAATATCATGAAAGTTAATTACAGAAGACTTCAGCAGTTTTAGGGATATGGACTTACATATTGAGGGATGCCAAGGTAAGGCTAGAACTGATAGCCCTTATTCAACATGTTCTGTTAAGTTAATCATGTTTTTAATTTTTTGGTCTCATAAAAATAAGCTAGTGCCTTTGCTTTTTGCATGCCCCTAGTTTTTCCCAGATGCATATGCCAAAACTACCAGTCCGTTAAATTTAACTTCCTTCCCAACCAAATCCCATGTTAAAATTAATTTAATGAATTTGAATTGGCTCCTATTGAAATCCATTTTGCTAGATTCACTTCTTTCCCAGGATGCAACTGTACCACTTGTCAGAATGACACCTAAGAAACTAGCTAAATGGTGCAACCTACAATGTGACTCACATTGAACTCAATATCCCTATCCTGCTTAATGCCTTCCCACTTTATCTTTATATAATAGAGATTTGTATGCTTTTCTTTTTTTGTGAAGCAAGCAAAGAATACCAGATTTCTTTGTTTGTGAAAGAGGTAAAGAATACCAGATAATAGCATTTTGGTCTTTGCCAGTTCCTACATCCTATACTGCTTTCCTCTCTCACAGCCAACTTTGTCTTTTCTCCTCCTTTTGCCAGTCGCTCGGTGAGTAATACTTGATCATATATGCTCTACTCTACAGCTCTTACCATAATTTTCTCACTTACTGTGTGCTTTTTTTTTTTTTGTTATTGTTATCCTAACTTGTCATGTAAATTTCTTGATAACATATATATAATTTTCTCATTTAGGGTAAATTTTATTGATTTTGAAAAATTTTTAATTATATTATATTGGAAATGTTTTCTTCTGATTCTTAATTTTCATTAACCATGGCAGTTTTTCTCTATTTTACTTCTGGGAATCAGTCTTGTAGCTAATTGTTTTGCAGTCAAATGTATTAAGCTTTTCTCATTTTTGTTAATGATTCTATATGTCATTGTAGCTAGGTTCATCACCATATACCAAAATTAAGGTTTATAAATACAAATTGTGTATATCGAGTATGTTTTTCAGGCTCAAGCTTGACTGCAACAGCATAACACAAAAACTGGGCTAAACTCGTACTTGGGTTGTTAAAAACTAAACATCAAGGAGCAAGCTGGAGTTTGGCTTAGAATTTTTTTAATACTAAACTTTTATCTAATAAGAAAATTTATTAAACCTTAATCAAGAATTAAATAATCAACCTTATTATCTCCTCAATCCTAGCTTGTCAGGTTACTCTGTTTCTTTTTTTAGTTTTGATTTGTTTTTATGATTTGATCCTCCAAACCGAACACACTCCTTTAACTTCACATCCCAAAACCTGTCATATATAATATTTCATTCTGAAAGATTGAAACGATAATCTATCATGTAGGATATACAATCTGGAAGGTTGCTTTTGTACTGGACTCAAGGTGGATCTAGGTATTTACTAAAGGTGGAAAAACTATAGTTTGAAAGTAAGCAAAACAAACTAAAGAAGATGGTGTTCTTAGATGCTGAAAGCATCAAGAAGCTATGGGATACATGGAATATTAGAGGACTGATAATTCTAAGCCTCTTGGTGCAGTCTTTTTTAGTTCTGTTTGCATGCATGAGGAAAAAAAGAGGGGGGAAATGGGTTTCCATGATATGGGTGGCATATTTGCTTGCAGACTGGGCTGCTACATTTACTATTGGACTCATCTTACGTACTGGAAGTAGTGACATCCTGGTTCTATGGGCACCCTTTCTTTTGTTGCATCTTGGTGGCCCTGACAGCATCACCTCCTACTCTCTGGAGGATAATGAGTTATGGCTTAGACACTTGCTT